CTAGGCCCCGCTGCAAGGGTTAATAACATTTAAAACCGGAGTGCAGCATTTACGGATTATGAATTTCCTAATTTGTGATCACATTGCACACATGGCAGGTAGAGTTCCTATTAGGTACAAAACACAGACTGGGCCAATCTCTCACACATTACAACTATGATAAAATGCAATCTAAAGGTTTGTCACTGAAACACACGGTGAAGTGAAATCTCCCACTGGTGATGGTTCTGGTAACAATTCTCAAAGAAGAGATTTCTACCCACCACTATCTCATCTCTGGGACAGGAAGTGAAGGGGTGTCTCACTGGGAAAACAGCCCACAATAAAAACCTAAACCTGAAGGACGTTCTAACCCTCCCCACAAGACTGAAAATACAGTTTTGGAGTTGTAGTTACTATATTATAACAAAACCAGCTTGTGCTGTTATGTTGGCTCTCAAAGGGAGCGGTCATTACGAATGATTTGACATTCAACCCTGAGATAGGCAAATATTATGTAAATACAAGAGTCGTGTATTTTTATTTTGGTCTTGTGTACTTTGTGTATTTCTTCCAGATCTGTGCAGTAATCCAGTGTTAAAATGTTGCCTCTGTGCAATAAATAATAAAGACCAGTCACTACTGCTCTATCTCCTTGTATAAGGTGACTGGTCTTGTATCCGCCCCTCCTTTAGTTTGCTGGAGGCAGCTGTAAGGATCGCGGCTCGTCTATTTCGTTCCACTGTGGAACGCAGCCGCTTAGGGGAAGTCAGATACACGCCGATGCGTTCCAGGCTGGAATGCATCGGCCGATGACGTCATGGGCTCCTCCCATATCTTCCGGCTCAATGTCAGCTTGGCGTTCCACTAGTGTGTGGAGTGAGCGCCTGCTGACTCCTCTGGCCAAGGAACCTCCTGACTACTAGAGAGAGAGGGGGAACATCACTGTCTGCTGACACAGCCTCCAGTCTGCCTCCTCAGCCACCCCCCTATGGTGGCACGTTCTGAACCATAACCGCAAGTACCCTATGCATATAAATATTACTGATTGCATACCCTGCTGTTGTTACTACCTGCATGCATATTTGAACTGTGCCAGCTGCAAGTAGCCTTATTCTTCCCACTGAATTACAAAACCACTCGTATGGAGTAATACGCAGTGATTAACCTACTAAGTTATTGCTTTGCGGTATATGATGGTCGGACTCCTAACTCTCTGTATCCAAAATTGAGAGTGACGCCAGGAGTCCAACACTGATTGTCGTACCCCTATACCTTGAAATTCTTCGTCCCCACTTCCTACTGAGTTCCGCAGCTGAGATTCAACCCCAGTTGGCCAGGGCCTTACAGCAGCCTCTGATGGGTGGAGCCTGCTGAGTCCCTCCCACAGCTCTGCAGTCTGCACAGAATATGTGCAGCACAGTGATGATGTCACCACTACGTTCACAAGGCATTAACTAAGTTTGTAAAGGCATTTGGTGCACACAATGAAGATTTATATCCTTCATGGCTGTTGAGGGACATATTTCAATGAAAGTTTTTGTGTGAGTTCAGCTTTAATGCTTCATGGTCTTTTAATGAACAAAGTTTGTGGGGCTCAAATCCAAAACAAGTTTGTTTTTCTTTCAGTGCTGATTACATGTTTACTAGAGTGACATTTATAGTAAAGCTTTGGCACTCACCCACCAAAAAAACATTGATGCCCGCTTAACATATTATATGGCTATGAAATTACTGACAGCTCAGTGCAGTATATCTGCATCATCCCAAGATGAGATCATCCATAATTAATCAAAGCATCTAGTTGTCAGCAGATACACGTTTCACAAAAATACGTTCAGATGTATCTAAGTATTTGGTCTCTTGTTGTCATTCAAATGGGTTCTGGAGAATAAAAAGTTAAAAATGGCTATGAGTTTTTGGAGATTGTTATGTACAGTGTCAAAGCTTAATATATTGCAGCTTACCAGTCATTAGATGTGGTGGCGACATTATTCTTTTTTTTCCCCAAACATTTTCAGCAAGTGCAGATAATACCGGTTGATCTTACCTGAAATGCAGCGTCCTTGTAATTTCCTGTGAGCGGAACTGGAAGCAGGTAACAGTCTTTTCTTTCTTGTGTAATCACTATTATTTACCATGGAATGCAGATGAAAAAAAAAGACATGTTTGAAGTCCATCATGTGCACCAACTATGGCTGTCCTCATAGATACAATGGAGAAGTAGCCAAAGTTTGCCCACTCACTTTCATATATGGTGGAAATGCCCTGAAAAATCAGACAAAACTGAACAAATGTCTACCAACTGCATACACACTTTGGGCAAAGGCATTCCAAAAACTCTAAAAGAAGCCTTGCTCAATTTAAAAGCAGCAGCTTAGGCAAATACCCAATTTCTCCTATCCACTGTAGCTAAAGAAGTTCTCGTGAAAGCTTGGTGGTTCTCATTTTTTCCTGACTGCACTGGATATGTAGCGCTCACCCCCGAAGGAGCCGCTGAATGCCCGGTTCATCTCTAGTCTGTTCTGGGTATATTCTTCAGTTGCCCACCCATTAGCATTAACCGCCCTTCTTCTAGTGCCCACAGACTGATGTCTACTCCAGTAGTATAATGCAGAATAACTGTTTATTGAACATCTTCACTGGGGAGAGAGGACTTAGGGATTCTAAGCTTCCAGAGATAGGGCGGGAACAGGGCATAGGCAGGGGGAAATGCCTCACCGAGAACGGACTCCACTGCATGTCACTGATATGTACCTTATCCCAGCATACACCACTGGTTAAGAGAAACCCAGTGATTGGCTTTGTCTCTCATTGGCTGTCCCACAATATAACAGAGTCACACCCCGCCCAGGGGGTACAGGCAATGCCAGACACCTGGAATTAACCAGATAACTGCCACTATAATTCCAGCCAGACTGACTACAGCCCTGGCTATCACTATATGTCTAGTAGACACATCACAGAAGATGATTGGGGCTACAGAATGAAAATAAATTATTCTTATAACCAAATGAGTAGAATTTAAACTGCTCTGGACTCCATGGGTAGATCATTATCTTCCCCCTGACTAGATTTGCTCACTGACATGAGAACCTTCTCCATATTGATAGCAACAATTTAGGCTGTGACATGGCCAGGATCCACCCCTAAGTTAGCCTCCCCTTTGGACACAGTAGGATACCCCTACCCCTCTTGTTCCTTTCTCTTAAAAGCAGAACTATGGGATAAGGGCTTTTCCCCATAGTTCTCCTAAGGGTAACGGGGGGACATAAACTAGCGTCTTCCCGTCACCCTAAGCTCAGTATACCGCGAGCTACAGCTCGCAGTATACTGAGATGCCGCAGCTGAAACGGATCACAACAATTATGTCTGGATCCGCCCAGCTGCGTGAGTGACAGCTGGCTCTGCCTATCTAGAGGCAGAGCCAGCTGTACACGCGCCCTCCCCCGTCCGTTCCGCCAGTCAGCGCTGGAGGATCGGAGCGGGGGGAATCCAGGCCCTCCCGTCACGGCTCTTTGCCTTGACAAGATCGAGAAGTGAGCGAACGCCGGTATGTGTTCGCTCACTTCCCGATCTACTGAGCCGACCTGTGACAGTCTCATTGTCACAGGTCGGCTAGAGCTATGAGGTGAGTGAAAAGCACTCACCTCATAGTTCTCCTTTAAGCCTGTGACACATTGCATGCGAAGCAGTGCAGAGCGAAGCAAAGCTTTTAGGCACGGAGCTTCGCATGCAGTGTGTGAGCGGAGTGCAGCCAGACAATTGACTGCATCTTCAGCCAATCGGCTTGCACGTAACAACCGGATGGAGTTCGCATTGTGAAGCGCGGGTTTATACGCATGAGCCGATTGGCTGAAGATTATATTTTTCATCTCGGCACACTCACCTAGCACAGCCTTTACTCTATTTCCATTTGTAATTGTGTAGTGTCAGCCCTGGACACTCATGCTCAACCTCACAATTTAAAGGATAACTCCAGAAAATGTTAATCCTTGCGGTGGGGCTGCCTTTGTACTGCAAGGGTTAATTGCTCGCCTTGGTCTAGGGGCTAGAATGAAGAAAATATACTCGCCTGATCCTCAGCCCCGCTCTAAAAAGGCATAACAGGAAACAACACAAAAACAAGGAAGTAAACACAAGAGAAACAAATTCTGCTTTTACCTTATTATTATTACTACAGGATAAGGCAATATTTATGAACACTGCTCTTTACTTCTTGCAGCTACTTGCCCTTTAAATAGTTTTCACATAACACAGCATCACAACAATGCAACATTCCCATACATATACAACCCAATTGAAAATGACACCCAAATATAGTATAAAAAAAAAAAAACCCCAAAAAAACATGCAAATATATTCCAAGAATTTCTCAGCCACACTGTAATATGCAATGCTGCATGATTAGAAAATTGGATGTGCATATGTCTTTCTTCATACATTATCTGAGATTACAAACCTTTGCATGGATTCCAGTTAGGCAGAACTATACATTAGGCTCAATTAATAAGACAGGGCAAAGAGCTGTGACAACGCACAAACTGCAGATTTCAATACCAGCCAATCAGACCAATTTACAGAAGTCAGAGCAATAACAATTATTGCACAACGACTGCTATGACTGTTTGACTTTGCTCCTTCCCTTATTAAATAAACATGTAAAATGTGACCTCATCAAAGGCAACACAAACTGCAGAACTGTGTGCATTCCCCTGCAACCAGACTAAAGCCTTGATTCCAAAGGTCTGAATCTGCTTACCGTGTGGTAAATATCCATGTATAACCTTTAATAAATAAGTACTGCCATATAAAATCTGAGGGAAAGGACTGGAGGGTCCAATTGTACATTTTCTAGTTCAACAACAGAAAAAAAAAAAAAATCAGCCTCACTGGTTACCATGGACCTTTCCTCCAGTTTGCCAGAAGCACCATTGTCTGACATTACAAGTCCACTTTCAAGGTGTGCAACAGGTTTTTTTTTATTTTTTATGTCAGTGTGGAAATACCAGAGGAGACAGTTACTGAAAGAAAACCTCTGTAAGTGGTCTGCGCTTTCCCACTACCTCCACCACTTCCTCTGGTTCTTCAGAAAGAGACGACACAGAAGGATAGTTGTCCTTGGTCTTCAGCTTCTTCTTGGTTGCTGAGGGTGCTGTAAAAAATTTGTTTAGAGAAGATGGCTTTCTGAAGCCTCTTGTCAAGTCATGGAAGGCAATGTCATCAGAAATGACTCCAAGGAAAGTAGTAGTGGTTCCAAAGATGGAGGCCCCAACTTTGGAGTTCCTTTTTACAGGGATGGTATGTTCCATATTAAAGTAGGCTGGATCCTTCAGTATATATCGTAGTTGCACAGCACATTCTTTCTTCAAGTAATGGTAGGGCTTTCTCCCGCTATTATCTCGCACATGGACTTCGGCACTGTAATCTCTGATTAGCATGATTATAACATCCTTACGTTCATGTATGGCAGCTATATGTAATGGTGTGTACCCTCCAAAAGACCTCACATTCACATTCACGTTAGCATCACCTTTTCTGCTCGAGTCAAATAATAGTTTAACCATCTCCGTGTTGCCACTTTTGGCTGCCCAATGCAGTGCAGTAAATCCTGAAATAAAGTCTCTCTTGTCCGCCAGTTCACTGTCTTTCAACATAAGACCCAGAAGTTTATGATTCCAGCGTCCATTGGTGGCAGTCACCAGCCACTCGTGCTCATGTTGGAATAATGGCACCACATCAGAATATTTGTTTTCTTCGCTAGCTTTCATAATTTTGGAAGCCCTCTTCATATGGGGCGACTTGGAACCCACATCATCAAGGTGCCTTCTGCCCACATGTGGTGATCTAGGCAGGGCAGGCAGTAGACCTTCTTGAATAGTTGGTAGAGGTGCAACCTGTGGCAGATCCAGGGGTGGAGATTCCTGGACCATTGACAAGGGGATTGCTAGTGGCACAGACGTGTTTTCATTCTGGTTTGCATCTAGATCATCAAAAGAACTCTGAGCGTACCGCAAAGGCAGCATGTGCGGCTTCTGCATTTCTTTGGACTGTCCATCAGACCATGACTTGGGAACAGGCACTGGACCTGAATGATGCATGCGAGAGACAATGTCAGAAACTGACTCCCTCGTTTCCTCATTTTCAAGTTTTTGTAAGTTGCCTCTTTCCTCCTGATCAGTGGATTCCTGCCCACATTCCCCAGCACCGGAGTCTTTCAGCTCATGATACTGTGGTTCAGATAACTCCTGCAGTGAGGCACTTTTACTGTCAGTGCTGATAGACGGCTCCTCTGTGTTGTTGTCGCTTACAGGTAGGGGCTGCGGTTCTTCCTGCAAGTGTCTCCTTGCCCCCACTTCCTCCTCCTGTGCATTTGTTGATTGCACAACCCCTGCCAGTAAATGGGCATATTTCTTCTTCAGCACCACCACCTTGCACCCATCTTCATCCTTCACCACTGCAATATTGTTGACGAACCTCTTGAAAAGATCCCTGTTGTTTGCCTTTTCTTGAGGATCAGGGGATTCCACCACATGCTTAAAAGTCTTGATCAGATCTGAATTCTTCACCTTCCCTCCCTGCTCCAGGAGAAAGTTCAACACCACCTCTTGTTTTACAGCCATTCTCCTCTTTCACATCCAGAAGGGGCAGCTGGTGTATCTGCAGCCACGGACAGGACTAGAAAAGAGCAGCAGCTCTGTCTTCTATCATGTCTCCCGTGTATGTGGAATGTGAAAAGTACCTGCAGCTTCCGGGGTGAAACTGTGATCAGGTCTGCTACGCCCAGCCCGGACAGATCAGTCAATGAAGAAGAAGGAGGAGGGGGGGAAGGGAGGGCAGCCAGCCAGCCCTGGTCTATGGGGAAGTTTTCCTTCACCTGGATCGTCTACACACAGCCAGTGCTTGGGATTTATATTATGGGATCACACAACTTTATATCCACTTATATTTATAAATAGTTTACTGTAAAGCTTACACATGAAAACGTTATGGGAGGCAGCTGGGAATGCAGGTGTGGCAGTGCACGGAGAACAGGTTTGTTTATTTACAGATTACTGAAAATAATACTTTCAGGGCTTGTAAAGTCTCCTCCAGTGACACTTATATGTGCAAAAAATAAAGAGGTGGCAGAGATGTCCATGGCAACCTGCTGCCACTTCCAGAGATGTCCATAGCAACCAGGTGCAATTGCTAGAGATGTACAGGTGCCATTTGTAGAAATGTCCACAGCAACCAGTTGCTGTTTCCAGAGATATCCAGGTGCCATTTCTAGAAATGTCCACAGTAACAAGGTGCCATTTCGACAGGTGTCCATAGCAATTAGATGCCATTTCTAGAGATGTCCATAGCAACCAGAGGCCATTTTCTGAGATGTACAGGTGCCATTTGTAGAAATGTCCACAGCAACCATTTGCCTTTTCCAAAGATATCCAGGTGCCATTTCTAGAAGTGTCCACAGTAACAAGGTGCCATTTCCAGAGATTTCCATAGCAACAAGATGCCGTTTCCAGAGATGTCCACGGCATCCAGATGCCATTTCCAGAGATGTCCAGGTGCAATTTTCTAGAAATGTCCACAGCAACCAGATGCTATTTCCAGCTATTATTATACAGGATTTATATAGCGCTAACAGTTTGTACAGTGCTTTACAATATAAGGAAGACATTACAATCACAATACAATTCAAGACAAGATGGTAAGGAGGGCGCTGCCCGTGAGGGCTTAAGGTGCCCACACACCTTGCGCTAATCGTACGATAATCGCGGGAAATCCTGCGATCATACAATTATCGTAAGGTGTGTGGAAGCCGTGCAACCGTGCAACTGTAAGGTCGCACGACTTTTATCTTACAAACATGTTAGAAAACCCGCCGAGAATCGTACGATTTTCGGCGGGTGTGTAGCATTTTCGTAAGATAAAAGCCGGGCGGGCCGGTGTGCGCAAGCGCACACTGCCCGTTCGGCGTTGCGGTCATCGCAAGTACGATCTGCCTGTCCAAGCTAGGCAGATTGTACGTTTTTTTAATTACCTTACAACCATCGCAAGACAAAAGTCTTGCAATGGTTGTAAGGTGTGTGCCCAGCCTTACAATCTAAAAGGGAGGAGGAAGGGATACATGAGGAGGAAGTGATATATGAGGAGGTATGTCCAGGTACCATTTCTAGAGATGTCCACAGTAATAAGGTGCCATTTCCACAAATGTCCATAGCAACAAGATGTCATTTCCAGAGATGCCCTTAGCAACCAGGAGCCATTTCTAGAGATGTCAATAGCAACAAGGTGCCATTTGCACAGATGTCCATAGCAACCAGGCAGATTAAAGACACCAGTTTCAGAGATGTCAACCCGGGAGAACAGTTTAAGACCCCGTTCACATTGAGCGATTTATCGCGCGGTAATTCCCGCGATATCGTGGCAATTTACCGCGCGATATCGCTCTCTAATGCTTCTCAATGGGGCAAAGGGTCCTGCTGTCGCGGGTCGTGTGTCGCTACAGCAGGACCCTTTTTGGAGCGGATTTAGCCGCGATTCAAGCTTGCTCAATGCAAGCATTTGCGCGATATCGCGCAAAATGCAAATTGCGCAACAAACGCACGATTTGCGAACCGCTCAATGTGAACGGGGCCTATAGGAGAAGAAAAAGTGGCATGTACTGTGCCTAAGGCCCCATTCACACTGAGCGACATGAAAATCGCGCGATTTTCATGTCGCTCAGTGTGAATGGGGCCTTAGGCACAGTACATGCCACTTTTTCTTCTCCTATAGGCCCCGTTCACATTGAGCGGTTCGCAAATCGTGCGTTTGTTGCGCAATTTGCATTTTGCGCGATATCGCGCAAAATGCAAATTGCGCAACAAACGCACGATTTGCGAACCGCTCAATGTGAACGGGGCCTATAGGAGAAGAAAAAGTGGCATGTACTGTGCCTAAGGCCCCATTCACACTGAGCGACATGAAAATCGCGCGATTTTCATGTCGCTCAGTGTGAATGGGGCCTAAAACTGGGTGTGGCTAAACTGTGCAAAAGGTGCAACTCAAAAGCAGTACTGTGGGATATTTACATAAAAAGAACCAAAAACTGAGAATGATAGCTAGTGTGTATAACAAAAGAAGTAGTATAGTGCAATGTTCATTTGTAAATGTTTTCAACATTTTATTTTTATTATATGTATCTTACACAACTGAGCATATCAGGACTGTCTTGTAAAATACTGTTTGCCTGGCCATAATGCAGGGAAGAGGTCTTGATGAATGAGAGCAATTGAGGAAGATTTGTATATCATGCAGAGTGAGAGGGGTAAAAAAAACAGGTTGACTCCTTAAATTTTAGGTTTGTCTGCATTTCTCTGCCCCATGTCAGAGGATGACAGCTGAGTTAGTAGTTGCAATTGACAACAGCACTGTCTTCCTTTCTGAATCTTGACTGATGGGAAGACAGTGTGAATGGTTGCTATAAATAACGGCACTATTTCCCTTTCCGGGACTTGAAAGTGAAGAGATTGAGTTTGCATGGCTGGCTGCCTTATATATGTATACTGTAGGCACCTAAAAATGATCCTGCCAAGATCTAAGAAAAGTAAACAATCACAGCATTTTGAAGAATATTTATTACATAGTGTGGCATTGTGAGGCAATACCACGGAGTTAGGTGGCCTCAGTCACCCAGGGTTCTCAGCCAGAGGGGCTGAGTGGCTCCAGGAAGACATTACTGGTACCAGGAGAGAACTGCCTTTTCAGTTCTTTCCGGGTTTTCTGGATCATAGTTGGGATCCTGGAGCCAGGAGATTTCTTAGAGCTCTGGGTGGGAAGAGATCTCCATTCCTGGGTCCATGCTTTGGTGGTGACCAGCACCTGATTGTGCACCTGTGTACATCCCTCATGAAGTGTGTGCTGGGATGTGTTCAGGGCCCCACCTGTGAGTCAGGAGAGCTCCACCCCGGAGTCAGTGTGGAGGCCAGGGCAGCAGGGAGCTGCGGGTTTGTGAACCATATTGAGAGGATTGGCATGTTATTGCCGTTGTCTGGAGGAACCAGACAGTGGCCCTAAAGATTGAGGCCGGAGCAGCAGTGCTGCAAGAGAGACAGATGTCGGTGAGCCCTTATCGGTTATATGCTACAGCGAGCTATTTATGTTGGATTTCATGTTATCTACCGTTTTGAAAGCAAATAAACTGCATCTGACTTGCACCTCCGGTCTTCAGTGGAGTGTCCTTGTTACAATAGTTACATAGTTAGTCAGGTTGAAAAAAGACACAAGTCCATCGAGTTCAACCTATAGAGATACGGAAAAAAAACTAAAAAAAAAACCTAAAACAGAACGCTTCTCTTACAGCCATTCTTTGATCTCTTGACAGTTGTCACCATAATCTGTGTCCCCATTTGAAGGTTTCCCATCTGTCTATGTGTGACAGCATCAGCATAACATTTTCAATTTCCTGTCACACTTTCTGTACCATTGACAATGGTCACCTGTCCTAATGGAAAATATGGTGATCTACTTCTGAAAGTGCTAGTTGCATGGCTGTGTCCGCCTTCAATATTTCCAAGTCAGTGACTTGGAGCAAGTATGCAGCAACTGAAACTCAGAGATTAGAATTTATCTCTATACTTGTTTTGGGTGAGAAAGTAGTAAATTAAAATAATCCGCTTGATAGCCAGGCAACTAGCATTTTCAGATGAAGAGGTCATCAATAGCAGCCCACATAATTGTCCCATGTACGGTGAACCTTAAAAGCTCCTTGTGATGCATAGGGGATATGATGAAAAAATGATCATTGTGTCTGGAAGGAATAAACTTGCTGGCATGGATTCAGGAGGAAATACGTCTCCACCTACCTCTAGATTAGTGTGTGCGAGCTTCCATCTAGTAAACACTTACTGTACAGTAAAGGGAATATATCACAGTTTTATCATTTTACTTCACTGGGCTTCTCTCTACTCAGATATCTGTCCTGGGAAGTTCTCTGTATATCTACAGGTATAACAATCATGAATAAGTGTGCGCCGTATTCTGTCCCCTCACTGGCAGGGTGTGTGTATGTGTCAAAAAGTGGTTAATAATTAGACAGCTCCAGCTTTAATTTAGAGTAAGACAGGTTTGTAATATTGACATTTGTTTAATAGAAAAGTGGAACTACCGCGTCTTATCCCTTACAGCCAAGGCTCTATTTTGATCTGCAGTTGCCATGGTGCTGCCGATGTGAGCAACTATGATACCAACCATTGGAGGGCTTGAAAGTTCGGTTGAGAGCTGAAATAAGCACACCGGCAACCTTGACAGTTGGCAGGCCTTAAAAGTAACTGTTTTGGGCAGGGGTGGGCAGCCCTCCAGCTGTGGTGAAACTACAAATCCCATCATGTATCTGTCTCTGGGAGTCATGCCCGTGGCTGTGAAAATGTTGCAATGCCTCATGGTTTCACAACAGCTGGAGGGCTGGAGTTTGCCCACCTCTTGATTTTGAAAGCCATTTCATTTGTTGGTAAAGTTCCTCTTTAATCAAATAATCTGACTGCTATCCCAACTCCAGGATTTAACCCCCCATTCACAGTGTGAGCATTTTCCGGTGACTTTGAAGCGTTTGCACATGTGTGAGCTTTTTGTGCATTTTTAAGGCTTGAACATTTTTGTTTTAGTCGAATGAAAAGCTAGTTACTAGGAGGAACCAAAAATGCATGATTCTACCCAAAATAAGTTAATGTACCTAAGCACAG